TCAAACTGAGACATTAATTGAGAACAATCAATGCTCTACCACAGAGGAGATAGCCAACACAGTCAACATATCCAAATCAATAACTGTTGGTGAAAGTGAAAAATGTGCCTTTTCTTTGATGGAAAAAACTAAACAGACTTTTTGGCCAACCCAACACTTCGTCCTTGCTTCCGTAGTGAGGCTGAGGATGGGGACCATGCGGCCCCTCCGGAGGGGGGGGACAAGCCTCCAAGAGGTGGGCACCAGAAACGCGATGTGTCAGAAACCCCGTGGACTTCAGTCCACTCCCCGTCTGACACTCAGCACCTCCCCGACCCGCACGAGTGCTGAGTCACACTCCCCCCCTCCCCACCGCTCTGACCTTTCCCTGGCTTTTGGAGCCAGGCTCCCTGTGGGACTAGTCATCAGAGCAGTACCTAGGGGCCTGTTCACAGGCCACAGTTAACGAGAACCTGCCACGTGCCAGGCACTACTCTACGTGCTTTGTTTATATTCTCTCATTTAATCCTCCCAAAAATACCTGGGGAGCGCTAATGCCTTTTTATTAACGAAATCCTGAATAGTGGAGGCAGACGAAGATGGCTCCTATGTCCTGGTTTAAAGACAAAGATCTCTTTTAAGTGGGGGCAGGTGGTATATTAGTGCTTGTTATACCTTCTGATTCCACCCCCAATTTTCTCCATGGCATTAAATGAGCCTGAAGTGTACCGCTCTGTAATCAGCCTAAAATACCCCCACCCACCTACACCAGGAGAAGAGCAGGGGGAGATGGGGCTAGCTGCTCCCACCCCCACACCTGGGGCCCTGCACCTGGTTTGTTTTAGGTGAAGGCTGCCCCTGAAGGGACAGAGAGAGAGAGAGAGAGAGAGAGAGAATGAACAAAAGGACCAGATTCAGGGAACTCTCGTGCTCCCGGTGCATGTGGCCAGAGGTCTTTAAGTTGCTAGACACAAGCTTTATTTATTAAGACTAATGGTGCCAGCACCGAGTTGAACACAAAGACAAATGGAATGATTTTCAAACCCTCTGCTGGCCACAGGGCAATTTATCAAGTAGAAAAGAAGACCAGCTCCCACCTCATTGGATGGGGTTTTTTCAAGAAAGACAGGACCTCAAACCCCTCCCCTCAGAAACACCTGCCTAAAGTGAGGAGCGACAGAGTTCGGAGACAGACTCCTGAGGCCATGGTCAAGGCTGTAGGGAGGTCAAAAGGAGGCCCTGGAAAGCAGCAACACCTAACGTTTTTCTGTGTGTACAACTCATGGAATTTGGAACTATTTGGACAGAAGGCTTGGAATTTCATTTTTAAATACTTTAAACAATTATGAAGGTTTATCATGGCCATACCATTGCTTGCAAAATGTCCTCCATAAAGAACCAAGCTTCTCATCATCATGTAGTCATAGAAAAATGTGAGCGGCTTTAGCAAAATTTGCTTTACATTACAACAAAGAATGAGAGTGAAATCTGCCCATCGACTAAGACCCACCTCAACCCCGAAATAGCCAGCAAAGCCCACGATGGCGCCCTCCCCGGAAGCCGGCCGGGATCGAGCCCCGAACACAAAGGGAAGGAGCTGACATTTCAGCCGGGAGAAACCCTCAGAGACCCTCTAGTCCAGCTCCTCCTCCTGCAGGGGCGGAGTGGAGGCCAGGGCGGAAGTGACATACCAAGCCTACAGAACTTACTTAACCAGGAATAAACTTCCCCAGACCCCAGGAGATTAGAAGCAAGTAATAGTGGCAGAGATGGGGTGAGTGTGGTGAGTATTCCTAAGGCGGTGACACATGACCACTATGTGACAATGGAAGACAGGCAGAAAAAAACTAAAGCATTTATTACAGGAGTATGTTGGATCTTAAGAACAAACCATGAGCCCTGGCTGGTGTAGCTCAGTGGATTGAGTGTGCACCTGCCAACCAAAGGGTCGCTGGTTCGATTCCCAGTCAGGGCACATGCCTGGGTTGTGGGCCAGGTCTCCAGTTGGGGGCACATGAGAAGCAACCACACAATGATGTTTCTCTCCCTCTCTTTCTCCCTCCCTTCCCCTCAAATAAAATCTTGGGGGGGAAAAAAACAACAAACCGTGAATGTGAGTCATTACAAAAGCTCGGTTGGCTGGTGTGTCATCTCGTACACCCAAAGGCTCTGGGTTTGAGTTCTGGTCATGGCACATGCCCAGGTCGCTGGTTTGATATCCTCAGGTGAGAATTTTTTTTATAAAGATATTTTAAAAATAGTGTCAATAAATGTGTTCTTCTTCTTTTTTTTTTAAGAGGAGAATTACTTGATCTATCTTAGCATGCTTTCCATCCAGAATGTTTTAAGACCAACACAGCACTCCCATTCGAAAGCGCCCGCTCCCGGTGTCTGGAAGGTTAATTCCTGTGGAGTGCCTGCGTGCCCAGCGATGCCAGATGGGAGTTACATACCCATGTACTTGCTGCTTCTAGAACAGGTGAAGTTTGGTTTTGAGATGTGCACATATCTCGTGGACAATAAAGCTAACACTCTGAAATCTGAGGGCTAATATAACTTGTATACAGATGACAACTTATCTAAATGACCTGAAATAAAAATAACTGGCTGCAAATAAGCCCTCGAGAACGTACAGCACTTATGCGTTACTAACTGCCACTCCCAAGGCCATGCATGTGTGCACAGCGTCTCAGCAATCTGATGACCCTGCCTGCAGGCGTCCACAGACAGGCTGATGGTGCAGATAAGAAGCTATGACCCAGCAGAGCAGCAGGAATGGCAGCCCTACACCCCTCTGTCCCTTGGTCCACAGAGTCAGCCCTCCCCGCCCTCCCTGGAAGCGCCCTGTTACCGCTCAGCAGCAGAACAAAGAAGAGGTGACCCTGCGATGAGACACGTCTTCCATTCCTGGACTTTAAATGTGTCCCCGGTGTCTCTGCCCCCCTGCCCTGGCCATCCCTACAATAAACAGGGTTTCTGGAGACCCTCCCTAGGTGGTCGCATCCCCTTGTGTGGACTCCTCCTGGTTAGCAGACCTACCCACCCACGTGGGCTTGCTCAGGGTGATGCCCAGTGCGCTGTACACCCGCCCGGCAGCCTCGCCAGGACCCAGATTCATGCCTCTGTCTTTCCGTCCCCTGCCGTCATGTTCACTATGTTCTCCTTGGCCAGTTTCTTTACCGCACAGTTGCTTCAAGCATGACTTAAGGGAAAGAACAGGAGTTTTGGAACCAGGAAACCCTGGGTTGAACCCCAGCTCCGGCACCCACATCGAGCTCTGGGGCTGAGCACAAGCTACTTCCCCTCACTGAATCTTAGATTCTCACAAGTAAAAGCGACACAGTGCAGAGTAAGTGAGTTAACGCCTATAAAGTGCCCGGCACACAGTAGGTGCTCAGTGGACGCCCGTGTCCCCACTTATAACTGCCGGCCCTGGCATCTTTCTCTGCAAAATGTCTCCTCCCAGCTTGGCTCTCTGGCTTCTCCCCATGTGCTTCCCATGGGCACCGCCTTCTCCACCTGAATCAGAAGGAGCATCTGAACAACTAAGTGCATTGGGAAATGGGATTGTAGAGCATTGCCACACTATGGCTCTTGAAGCAGAAATTACAAGACTGCAACACAGGGTCAGGCTGGACAGGGCAGTCCGAAGATGAAGGGGACAGAGGCCCCTGGACGCTCACACCCTCCGGTCCCGCTTCCCCTTTATTTGCCAGACCCAGCTAACAAAAACGCAGGATGCCCAGTTAAATTTATTTTCAGGGTAAAAAAAAAAACAAGTAAAAAACCTACTAAACGGGAGAATAATTTCACCAATGATACATCCAATAAGGAGTTGCTACCCAAAATATGGAAGTAACTTATACAACTTAGCACCCAAAAATAACCCAATTAAAAAATGGGCAGAGGACTTGGACATTTCTCCCAGGAGGGCGCACACATGGCCAGTGGACAGGTGAAAAAAAGCTCAACATCACCAATCATCACAAAACTGCAAAGGAAAACCGTAATCCGATATCACCTCACACCTGTCAGGATGCCCACCACCCATAAACCGACACACACGTGCGGCGAGGATGTGGAGAAAGGGGAGCCCTCGCCCACTGTTGGGGGGAATGCAAAACTGGTGCAAAGCAGCATGGAGGTTCCTCAAGAAATTAAAAATAGAACTTCTTATGGCCCAGCAATTCCACTTCTGGCTATTTCTCTGGAGAAATCCAAAACACTAATTAGAACAGACATATGCACCCCTATGTTCATTGCAGCATTATTTATAAAGATCCGAGATATGGAAGCAACCTTAGTGTCCGTGGGCAGATGAAGTGATAAGGAAGAAGTGGGGGGTGTGTGTACATACAGATGACATATATATACCTTTATGGCTGAGATATATACCCATATAACTCAGCCATAAAAAAGAATGGAATCCTGCCATTTGCAACAACATGGATGAACCTAGGGAATATTATACTAAATGAAATAAGTCAAACAAAGAAGACAAAGAGCATATAATTTCACTTACATGTGGAATCTAAAAAAAATAAATAAATGAACAAGCAAAACTGAGACAAACTCATAAGGCACAGAGACAAATTAATGGTTGCCAGATGGGAAGGGGTTGAAGGGCTGGGTGAAAAAGATATACAAAATGCTAGTCAAAAACACAAAGCAAAACAAAACAAAAACAGTCACAGAGATGTAAAGTACAGCATAGGGAATATACCCAGTCATACTGTAACTATGTATGGTGTCAGATGGGTACTAGACTCATTGGGGGGATCATTTTGTAACTATATAAATGTCTAATCACCATATAGTACACCTAAAACAAATAATAATATTGCATGTCAACTGTAATTGAAAAACAAATTTAAAATTTTAAGTTTCAGTGCAATAAGCATTCCATAACGTTTATCGATTTGCCAGGTTTCCACTGGTCACCCTTTTAACAAAGAAACAAAGATCGGACTTTAAATTTGAGATGCGTCAAGATCCCACGTGCCGAAGAAAAGCCTCCTCACCTCTCTGCAGCGTCTCTGAGGAGCTGCTGCAGGTCCGCCTCCTGCTTCCTCAGGGTCCCAAACGAAGACTGACTCTCCACCAGGCCTTTGCCGCCGGCGTTCAGCGTCACCCTCCCCAGGGCCGTCTCGACGTTCCCACTCACGTGGTTCTCAGACTTGCCCTCGTACTTCACAAAGTCCGACTCCACGACCACTGGGGCGGATGAGACACACAAGGGAATCTGATGACCACGTGGCCCCGTGGGCCTTAGGCCACCCAGCTTTCCAGTCCCGTGGGAGACACGGGGCTTGCACCCAAAATGGAAAGGTGGCCACGGAGCTGTCTGTGTGCGCACAAGGAAAAGGCGCGGGCACACCCGGGCGCCGACTGGGAGCTGGCAGGAGTGGACGGCTGGGGGCTCCGCTGAGTGCTTTTCTGATTTGTGTGTGTGTGTGTGTGTGTGTGTTTTAATTCCAACACATGCATGTATAACCAAGTACACATATTATACCTGTGGAATTTATTGAATATTTTTAAAGCAAGAGCCAATTTAACCACTATCCTGGTGAAGAAGTAGAACATTTTAAATGCGCGCCTTTCCAGGGTGAAGTGACCAGAGGGAGAAGATATGAAAACAGAGAAAACACGCGGGCCCAGCCCGGGACACACCCTCGAGTGGCCCGCCCTACTCCGTGTCCGGCAGGTTGGCCACCCGGACTTATCCTCGGGGATCTTCCCTTCCCACCCGCCCGTCTTGGAGAACATTCTCTTGGCATTCATTACCATCTCCGCAAATAATTCCCTTCCCAGGCTCATTTGTTTGTATCTGACCTCTACCCCGTTACTCACTCAAGCCCTGGTCACGCAGTTCTTTATCTCCATCTGTGCACTAGTGAGCGGGCACGCCCTCTCTGCCTCCGTCCCTCAGACCCGCCCTGGAACACACACGCCCCCACCCGCCAGCCTCCCTTCCTGGCTCCCCCCTACCCCGCACCCCCCGGTGTGCAGCTTCAATCAGGTCTCCTGGGAGCTGCTATGCTCCTCTCGTGGCCACATCCAGGTGATTGCTACAGACTGCCGTGGAGATCCGCCCTCCTTATCTGAACACTAAAGATAAGTATCTGATGATCTCATACCTCAGCTGCCAATCTCCAGATTTCTGCTGCATAGACTTTTAGTCCAATCGAATACCACCATGCAAACTAGTCTTAGCCCTCATCGTTCCTTAACATACATTGAGAATCTCTTACGAACTTCACACTTGGCTTTTTCCATTTCCCCGACCCAAGGCTCTCCTGGGTCCTGGTGGCACTTCATAAAGTACCTGCATGGAGACTACATGGAGTCTCAAAGCCGTCGTTCTTCCATCCACCCCCAGCACCCGTATGTCTCTCACTCCAGTCAAGAACACCCACTCCTCAGCCAGGGGTAGTGATGATTAATCACCCTTCGTTATCTCTGACATTTACAAAGTAGAGAAGCATCTCCTCCACCACGAAAAGTAGGAAGCCTGTGAGAATACCCCTGGTTGAAAATCTTCTTCTGTTCACGTCTTTGGGATACGGATACTCCGGGAAGTGCTGTGGGCAGCCGCACAGGGCAGGTTTAAGAGCTCAGATCGTATCCCTAATATCCCTATCGGGGTACCCTGGGCAGTGTTCATCTCCCCGAAGCTCAGGTTTGTCATGCGTAATTTGGAGGTAATTAACAATGCCTACCTGACGGACTCTGCTTCGAGTCCCTGTGTGCGAAGCCTGTAAAGCACTGCCTGGCACATGGCAGGTGCTCAGTCTATCCACCAGGCTTAGGGCCGAAACGACGTCATTTCTAATAAACAGGGCAGTCCTCGATTGTACAAGGTGCTACACAGACAGAAATTCTATCTGCCGATCACAGTTCTGGTCTCATTCAGGTTATCACCACCCCTGGAAACTCTGTCCCCAGGACAGCCAAGACTGTCTATGTGTCCGAAATCCCCTTTAGATGCACCTCCAAAAAAGATGTCACGTGTGCACACTTCTGCCTTGAGTCCTCTACTGCTCCTGGTGGAAGGGAAGGGGTGAGGAGGCCAACAGGCCACCGCGGGGACAACCATCAAGTGGCCACGCCTCCAACCACCACATCCCCGGGGAATACAAACACTCCAGTGCTGGTGTGAGTGGCAAGAAATACTGCAGGGGGAAGCATCCGGGACCTGTTTGTAGACAAGGCAGAGGGCATCTCTCATCATAGCCCCAACACCAACAGGACACAGAACCAGGGGTGAGCCCTGGCCTTAGATGATTAGCATATCTGAGACTTCTTCTTTAGCCGCCTAACGTGCGTCTTCATGAATTTTCAGGCCACCCCAAAGGAGGCACTTCAGCAGCACAGAATAGTAGGGTTCCAGCTATTTGGGTATCTAGGTCTATTCTGTGATTTTTTTCTCTTGCCCCTCAGTAGAAGTTCTACCAGAAATCCCAGGCAGGGGGAGGCTATATAAAATGCATTTCATCACTTGACAGCTCTGATAATGAGCCTGGTCGAAGAAAGCACTGGCTGGAAACTGGGCTGGAAGAAAGTAGAGATTATTTGTCAATTCAAACTATCTCCTCTTTCTCTTCTCCCCTTTAATATAGAGCTGCACTCACAGCATTGGAGAACTTTGGAGCTAATTGTAAAATAGAAGAGGACTCAGATAACATTTAGTCCAATACTAAGTGCTGATGATACTTTCACAGATCCCTGTGTTCCAAACGTGGTGTAGCACTGAGCACCAAAAGGCTTCAAAAGCTCCCAATCTCTGGTCCCTTAATTCTGTCTTTAAGAATCTATGCTAAAACGTGGGCTGGTGTAGCTCAGTGGATTGAGCTCAGGCCTGTGAACCAAAGGGCTAATGGTTTGATTCCCAGTCAGGGCGCATGCCTGGGTTGTGAGCCAGGTCCTCAGTGGGGGCATGCGAGGGACAACCACACATTGATGTTTCTCTCCCTCCCTTTCTCCTTCTCTTCCTCTCTCTCTAAAAATAAATAAAATTTTTAAAAGAATCTATGCTAAAGCAATTGCTTAAAGAAAAAAAAACAACATAGATTCAGATCAAAATGTTCATTGTAGCCTTATTTATTAAACACCAAATGAAAAATGGTTAAGCAAATAAGGTGGAAACACAAAAAGGAATATTATGGGTTTGTTGAAAATAGTGTTTTAAAATATTTAAACCTGTGAAGGAAAATTTATATAAGATTAAATAAAAAATAAGGAGTATACAATAATTATATGTAATATGTTTCCAATTTTGCTATTAAAAAATTAGATGCATAGGGAAAAAAAGACTACAATCCAGGAGTTAATGGGAATTAATACTTGATGGTAGAATTTTTGTTGGTTTATTTTCATGCCTTTCTACATTTTATAAATACTCGACAATGATACAAAGTCTGACTCCATTTTTTTTGTTTTGTTTTTTTGTTTGTTTTTTAAGAGAGAGAGAGAGAAACATCAATGTGCAGTTGCTAGAGGCCATGGCCTGCAACCCAGGCATGTATCCTGACTGGGAATCGAACCTGCGACACTTTGGTTCACAGCCCGAGCTCAATCCACTGAGATACACCAGCCAGGGCTGACTCTGTTTTTGATGTTTACTGCTGACAACTTTCTCTTCCCCTTCCTGTTACACACCTGGGCTGGCCGGTGAGAGAGTTCAGGTGCTCCCTCCATTGGTCCCAGCAGGAAGTTCCAACCTTAGAAGCCCCACCCACCTCCTCTTTGCAATAAAAGCTGACTCCATCTCCTATCCCCCCACTCTCTACCTATTTCTGGCCAGCTTGGGAGCCTGCCATGCCCATTCATGATATGAGTAATAAAATTTCACACCCGCCTGGTGGGTAGGTGGCATCCTCAACCTCAACACCAAACCAAATTTTGGGTGGCGGATCCGTCCCACGTATGTTGAGTGGCTGCAGCATCTACAAAGGGCATGTCTTACTCTTACACCAGAGCTGCACTGTTATTTTTTTTTCAAATTAAGCTATATCCTTTTGTGTCAGTTCGGCGGAATTTTGTCATTTGAAGAAAAGATGAGTTTCTAAGACCGCAGGCAAAGAAACAGGAGAAATCACAAGTTATCACCATCTAATTACTCAGCACAACATGTATCTAGAAGAATCATCTTCTGTTCTGGGACTAACTGTAAAATAGAAGAGAAAGAAACATACCTGGACTCAGACATTGGCCTTCTGTTAGCACATCTCCTAGGGTGACGGATAAAAACTGGTACTTGGGTCTCTGCCAGCACCAGAACCTGTTCTTTTTGACCACCAGACTTAGAAGCTGTAGCTTATCGGAGTCATTCAGGCTTGACACTGCGATAAGGTTTCCTCCGTCATCAACTTCTTTGAGGAAATTCTTGGTTGCCTTGGCAAACATGTTGAGAGCTCCAGGTTACCTGGAAAAATAATGTTACCCCCAAATTAAACAAGTTATTATTTTGTGACTTTTTTTCTAAAATTATCTGATTTCTCAGTAGTGTTCATCAGTATACATGAAAAAAATAGCTTCTCTGTAGAAAAGCCTCTAGCTTGAGCTCAGTAGATAACAACAACAAAAAAAATCAAACTGAAATACCGAAAGGGAATTTGTGCATAAGTCAGGAGAGGTGAGGTTATGCTTCAGTAACAAATAATTTCTAAGCCTTAGTGGCTTCTAACAACAGAGGAGTGTTTATTTCTTGCACTACGCATCCGACAGAGGAGGCCGAGAGACTTTGCCATCATAGTCACTGAGGGATCCAGAATGAGGGGCAGCCTCATGTTGAGCATCATTAGCCATCGCCCAACTGGAAGGAGAGTTCAGGAAAGTCTCACACCAGCAGTGCAATGCTCTGGCCCCAGACTGACACACAGCATGTGCGAGCACGGTTTGTTAGAACTAGTCACATGGCCTCAGCCGATCATAATGGTCTGGAAGGACAATCCCACACCGACCATGTGGAAGCCAGAGACCTGGAAGTATTTGAACAACACACCGACTACCCCAAGTTGCGTCTTACTTATGACCACTTCCATGAAGACTCAAATGTGCTTTGTCTCTGCCCTCTGCGATTCCTCTGTTCATGAATGGCAAGGAACTAGCTATCACTTTTTAACTCAGAAATGAAGTCCCAGTCACTCTTCAGCTGGAGGAATAATGAACAGACACACTGCAAGATGTGAAAGGACTGTAGTCAGTGAAGGAATTAGAGATCATTCAATAAAAGGTGCTAGCACCACGGGCTAATCATCTGGGAAAAAATATTCACATCCCGATTTCAGAGCACATCCATACACAGAGCAAATATTCACATCCATGCACAGAGCAAATTCTCAGTGGACTATGGGGGGGGGGGGGGTTGAGGAAAAAATAAAACCATAAACATACTAGAAAAAAATACAGACAAATATCAGTACAATTTTAAAAGGAGAAAGACAAATGGAAAGCTGAAAAAAAGTACTTGTTTTATAACAAAGAACTAGAATACTTTATGAAAAAAATTTACAGATAAAATTTTTAAAATACTGTAATATAAACATGAGCAAAGGTTATTAACAATTCACATGTACACACATATGTAAGCATTCTTACTCAAAAAAGCAAAAACTGAAGATTTTTAAAAATATATTTTATTGATTATGCTATTACAGTTGTCCCATTTTCCCCCCTTCACTCCCCTTTACCCTGCACACCCTCTCCCACCCACATTCCCCTCCTTTAGTTCATGTCCATGTGTCATACATATAAGTTCTTTGGCTTCTCCATTTTCCGTACTATTCTTACCCTCCCCCTGTCTATTTTCTACCTACCATCTATGCCACTTATTCTCTGTACCTTTTCCCCCTCTCTCCTCCTCCCACTCCCCTGGTGATAACCCTCCATGTGATCTCCATTTCTATGGTTCTGTTCCTGTTCTAGTTGTTTGCTTAGTCTGTTTTTGTTTTTGTTTTAGGTGTGCTTGTTAATAATTGTGAGTTTGCTGTCATTTTACTATACATGTTTTTTATCTTCTTTTTCTTAGATGAATCCCTTTAACATTTCATATAATATAATAAGTGCTTGGCGATGATGAATTCCTTTAATTTGACCTTATCTGGGAAGCACTTTATCTGCCCTTCCATTCTAAATGAAAGCTTTGCTGGATAGAGCAATCTTGGATGTAGGTCCTTGCCTTTCATGACTTGGAATATTTCTTTCCAGCCCCTTCTTGCCTGTAAGGTCTCTTTTGAGAAATCAGCTGACAGTCTTATGGGAACTCCTTTGTAGGTAACTGTCTCCTTCTCTCTTGCTGCTTTTAAGATTCTCTCCTTCTCTTTAATCTTGGCTAATGTAATTATGATGTGCCTTTGTGTGTTCCTCTTTGGGTCCAACTTCTTTGGGACTCTCTGAGCTGCTTGGACTTTCTGGAAGTCTATATCCTTTGCCAGATTGGGGAAGTTCTCCTTGTTCAAATAACTTTTCCACTTGTCACTCTTCCTCTTCTCCTTCTGGTACCCCTGTAATTCAGATGTTGGAACATTTAAAGATGTCCTGGAGGTTCCTAAGCCTCTCCTCATTTTTTTGAATTCTTATTTCTTCATTCTTTTCTGATTGGATGTTTCTTTCTTCTTTCTGGTCCACACCATTAATTTTAGTCCCGGTTTCCTTCCCATCACTATTGGTTCCCTGTACATTTTCCTTTATTTCACTTAGCATAGTCTTCACTTTTTTCATCTAATTTGCAACCAAATTCAACTGATTCTGTGAGCATCCTGATTACCAGTGTTTTGAACTGTGCATCTGATAGGTTGGCTACCTCTTCATTGCTTAGTTGTATTTTTTTTCTGGAGCTTTGATCTGTTCTTCCATTTGGGTCATTTTTTTTTTGTCTTGACACACCTGTTACATATGAGGGGCAGAGCCTTAGGTGTTCACCAGGGCGGGGCAACCCGAGTGCCTGTGTTGTGACGCTGTATGTGAGGCAGGGGTCCGAGAGGGGACAATGGTGCTTGCTCTGCTCTCTGCAGGATTTCAGTCACTTCCCCTGCTTCCCCCAAGCAAATTGGGCCCTTCTGGTGCTGATTCCCTGGTGGGTGGGTTTATGTATGTTCTAGGACCCTGTGGGTCTCTCCAACAAACTCTCCTGTGAGGCTGGGAGTTTCTCCCAGTGCCTCAGCCCACACAGGTGTTTTCAATCAGTGGTTTGAGGCTCTATTTCCCCGAGCTGGGGCCCTGGGTTGTGCAGTCCATCCACTCCCCAGCTTTGCCTGGTTTGTCTGCGCGTGAATGTGGGACTGCCCACTCAGCCACCACTTTGCCTGCGTTCTCTCCGCTGCCCGACTCCACCCTCCTTACCAGTCTGAATGAATGTTTCTTCTTTAACTCCTTGGCTGTTGGACATCCATACAGTTCAATCTTCTGTCAGTTCTGGTTGTTTTTTGTTTTTAAATTGTTATTGTCTTTCCTTTGGTTGTGCAAGGAGGCACAGTGTGTCTACCTATGCCTCCATCTTGGCTGGATGTCCTGAAGTAAGATTTTTAAACAACTATCCATGGCCAAAGGTTAAAATGTCCCAGGGACAAGAACTGTGCTTTATTTGTATTTGCACCCTGGTATCTGGCAGTCACAGAGATAAGAAAATCATAGAATGTGAGACCTGGGAGTAATCTTAGACATGAACTAATTAACCCACTTCCTTTAACAAGAATCTCCTCCAGAGAATCAGAAAACACTTCTCTTACCCACCACTAGTTTGTCTCTGAAGAACTCTGCTCAGAGACAGAGTGAGCTCCCTAACCCTGTTCTTGTACATTAACAAGAATGAACATTTAGGGAAGGGATTCTAAAACATGCAGAAAGTTCCTTCCTGGTAAACAGAGAACTGCAAAGATGAAAAACCAGGTTCTCATCTCCAAGTAACTGATCTCTCACTATACTAAGCATAAGGATCTTCCATGCAATAGATCGCCCATTTATTCATTCATCAAAACATTTATGAATCATTCATTAATTATTCATAAGTGCCTACTATACCCAGGTGCCACGTTCAAGCACTTAGGATACAGAGGCAGTAAGTAGTTCCTCTCCTTAGTAACTGGATGGAAAAATAAGCAGCTAGGTTTTACCTAGATATGGGCACAGATCGCTACCAGGAATGAATGGAAAGAAAAGCATTTAAATCCAATTAGAGAGAAGCAGAGGGTCACAGAAGTTGTCCTGAAGTAGGTGGTGTCCGAGCTGCTTTCTGTGGGCTAAGTGGCAGTAAGTAGGCAAAGAGCACCATGGGGATGCACTAGCAAATGAGCAGCAATTCTCAAAGCCTAGCGCTGGCAGGAGGTGGTGGGGGTGGGGGACACCGTGACCAGCAACCCTGTCATGTCCAGGAGACATTGTTTTGTGTTCAGCTGCCCATCGCCATTTCCTTGACAGACCTGCCATTGTTTTCAGGCCCCGGGACTGGCTCCTGCACCCGATGCGGGGTTCTGGAGTAGGAGAGGGAGAAGGACAAGGACAAGGGGCCCTCAGTTCCGGTCGGGGGAGGACAGACCTTCCCTGACATGACCGCTGCTGTACGCATGAGCTAGACCCGGCCCAGACAGAGAGTGCTTCCCGTAAACCCCCTCAGGGACCGTCTGATGGTGACGAATGCCTTCCTCCTGACTGGAGAACCAGTACCTCTCCCGTGACCCATGGGTGCTGGCTCCTGGAACAAGCCCTGTCCTGACCCAGGCAAGCACGTTAGGCATTCTCCCGCACCTGGGACCCACCGCATTCCATCCATACTGCCCTGTCCTGTGTAATTCTTTGACATCTGTGAAGTGACACGGAAGACAACCACTTCGACTTAGTCACCCCCAATGCACCTGGTAAGATTCCCTGAGCAAGCTCTGTTAACTGCCAGACTGGCGGGGCCTGCCTCCTCCTGTCTTCCCCTGCCCTCTGCTCACAGAGCTAGATTTTCAGTCTCGGGGCTTTTCCCTGCATCTGTGTGTACAAACAAGGCTCTGAAGACCCTCGCTGGGGGCGCGGGAAGCAGGAACCGTGGGTGGGGTGGGGTGGGGTTGTGTAGGGAGCAACGTGATCAGAGTGGTCACTTAAAAAGACCTTCTGGAAGCAAAACAGCAAACTGCCGGAAGTGAACATGATTAGAGACAGACAACAAATGCCGAACTGCGTCAGTGGCCAAAGGATACGAGAGACGCTGGCTGGCGGTTTCCCAGAATCTGCTTGGATGCGAGGGTGGTGATGAAAGGCCTCCCAGGGTGGCCTGCAGGTAGCTGAGGCGTGGGCTGGCTGATGAGACCCAGAGGCCAGTTGCCGAGAGAGGGAGTTCAGGAGGAAGCACAGTGGCGGGGGCAGTGAGACAGCGCCCACTGCGGGTTTCGAGGATAAGGTGCGAGATTCATTTTGCCCCACACAGGGGCCATTACTTTGTAGATTTTTGTTAGAACGAGGCTTATTCAGTCAAGGAACTCTGAGAATATTCTCCTTGTGAAGTTAAATTAGAAATTTCTTTTTTAGTAGTGTTTGAATGCATAGTATATTTACATGGCTCAAATATTTAAACTATGTAAGAAGATAATACAGCCCTGGCTGGTGTGGCTCACTGGACTGAGCACCGGACTGCAAATCAAAGGGTCGCTGGTTTGATTCCCAGTCAGGGCACATGCCTGGGTTATAGGCCAGGTCCCCAGTGGGCAGCACATGAGAGGCAACCTCACACTGATGTTTCTCTTCCTCTCTTTCCCCCTCCCTTCCCTTCTCTAAAAGTAAATAAATAAAATATTTTTTAAAAAAGATAATACACCTAGAGACCCCATGCCTACCCAGGCCCATGTACCCTTTCACCCCTGCCCCTTCAGGTTCATTACCCTCACGTTTCTCTATACAAATATGCGTAAAACAGGGTCTACCCACTGTCTGCACCTTGCTCTCTGTCACGTGGCACTGTATCCTGGGGATGTTTCCCTGTTAGCGCCTTCTTCACTACCGCTGCTCATCGTGTGGGCATGACATTGTTTATTCCCCCTGTTCTGTGTTGCCGGTCCTCGGGTTCTTTCTATATTTTTGTTGTTATAAAAATGCCACACTGAACACTCCTGAATGTGTGTCCTCTTCACACATGGGCAAGAGCACCTCAGGGGAGGTCTTCAGAAGAAGGGTTGCGAGATGAGTGGGTACAAGCACCTATAATTTACCGGTCGGGCCATTTTGCAGTCTCAACAACCAGATATGAAAGTATCCGTCTCAGCAACAGTGTGTATTCAAAGTTTTGTATGTTTGTCCATCTCACGGGCATCTCAGTACAGTTTCATGTTAATATAAATGAAGCATCTTTTGTTTAAAGCCTTGTGTATTCCTTTTTCTTAACTATGTCCTTGGTCCATTTTCTATTGTTTCTTTCTTTTTTTTTTTTATTCCTAGGAACTGTTGATACAATAAATCAGGCAGGACAGAGGCTCGAAATTTAATGTGATAGAGCGTGTCCTGTCTGGCACTGGGATATAATAAGCTCCAGACCATTCTCAGACATCTGAAGGGACTGTCTAACCAGGAAAAATAAAATAACGTGCGCAGGGCCAGCTGAAGTATCTAAAACTCACATTGCCTAACACAGACAAGCACAAAAATATCTCAGTTAACCAGAAGTCAGACTTCAGATTCAAGTTTCCAGAACACTCCAACCTGGAAGTAGATGAAAATTGCCTCAGGAGAGACGTAGCCCCAAAACCCACACTCATGCCCCAAAACCCACAGCACTTTGCCCTGGGCTCTCCCACACGGCCTCAGAATCCGATCGGCCAGCGTGGCTTCCCAGCTCACAGCAGGACGCAGAGAGCCACGGTGCATGCGGAAAGGCTATGCAAGCCTGAATCCGACTCCTGAGCCAGAGACCTCTGAGGAAGAGACCGAGACAGTAAGACAACGCGAAGTCAGAAAAGCACATGGCCAACTGGGGCCCCTGGCTCCTGGGAGCAAAGAACCCTCAAAACAGTTTCCACGGGGACAATTGCATGAGAAGACTGTGATCACCGTGTCCACCCTTAAGGCTGACTCAGAGTGGCAGGATGATGACGTCTGCATTGGGAAGGACCCCGTTCTTCCTCATACCCAGTTCAAGGTTCTCCTCGGGAGCAGCGCTGGTGGGTCACTGGGTTTCTGCTCGAATAGTTGTAGGGAAGAAGCCTCAACACCAGAGTCAACTAGATTAAGAGGGGGAGGGGTAACTATGTCGAGCACCCACTGTGTGCCAGGCCTTGGGCTAAATCTTCTCTATGCGTTCCCCGTCCGGTCTTCACAGCTGCCCCGAGGGGGCATTGTGCGCAGCGTACAGATGTGGAAGGTGGGGCTCAAAGGCGTTAAGTCACTCGCCCCATATCCCAGGAAAAAAGAAAAGAAGCATCCCGGACATCCAGCGGCCGGCCTGGTGCTACGGCCAGGCACTGCCCGACCTTCGGCTGGTGAACACGCACAATGTCACAGACATCGCCACCAGCCAAGGCCACTCTGGTCAGGACAAAGCAAGATGAAACCAAGACCCTTCGTAACCCTGATGGACCAAAGACAAAATCTGAACACTGTCCGAACCACAAAAATGACTCAGGACCCCCACTGTCATCACCAACCCGGGCTACTGAGTGACAGCAGCTGCTTCTTGGCCAACCACTGCTTTCGTCTTCCCTCCTTTTCCGTAAGATTTGGGAAGGTTCTCAATACAATCCCCCCCACTTCCTGGCAGCACCCATCCGAGCAAAGTCCTGTTTCCTTGCAGTCTCCCTCAAACCACCTACAGGCCCAAATCCTTTAATTCCTTCCTAACACCCACTTACTGAGTATCCCCCTGCCCCACCCCCACCCTGCCCCACGCTCCCCGCGGTGCGAGGTCTTCCTCAGTGCAACAAGCAGCTAACCCAACTTGCTCAACTCTACGTGTGCTCCTGGAGGGAACTGAATGTCTCATCAGAGAATTAGTGCTGAGCCCAGGTTTCCCACCGAGGTCCACCTGCCTCCCGGGCCAGAGCGGAGAAACCGGAACAAAGAATGCAGCAGGAGTCGGGAGGGGGCGGTGACGCGTGAAGACAGAGGTACCAGCTGGCCTTGCAACAACCGGGGAAGGCAGTGGCAGCGGGAAGGAGGAGGATGGGAGAGGGGTGAGGGGCCTTAGGGGACGGGGAGGCAGAGAGAGGAGAGGGCGCGACAGGGCCCGCGGTCTTGCTGCGGGTAGTCCACGGATCCGCCCTCCTTGGGAGGGACGGAGGAGGGTGTCCCGGAGACGAAGGAACCGCGCGGACTCGCTCCGGCAGCGGATGCCCCACACTTACCTCCCGCGCCCGCAGCTCAGTGCCCACAGCCGCGCGCCCCGCACTCCACGGCGAGCGCTGGCCGGAGCTGAAGATGCCCCGGGGGGCGGGACGGGCTGGGAGGGCGGGGGCTCGGTGGGCGGAGGGCGTGGGGGGAGGGGCGGGGCTGTCCGTAAGGACCTTTGCTCGTCTTCTCCCCTTGGAGGCGGAGACCTGCCCGGGCAGCAGGCGGCAGGCAGTAGGCAGGGCGCAGCGGGCCTGGAGCCGGCTGCAGCTGAGGCGGGGCTGGGACCGCTGGCTGCGTCCTGACACGTGCCCGAAGGCCCGGAGCGAGCTGCTTCCCTTTCTCCGTGGGACTTCCCCGGAGCCGGTCGCTTGCGCCCCAGGGCTCGCCCCAGAGGCCTGACCTCCAGTCTGCAGCGCGGTGCTTTGAGCGCTGCCCCTGGAAACGGCCTGGACCCGCCGCCAGCAATGGGGTGTGGACTGGGACTGTGGTTTCTTGGTCCCACTGGGACAGCCAGAGGCCCCCGTAGCCTGAGGGACAGCCCCTGATGCCCGTCCCTGGGAGTGTGCGCATTTGTGGCGTGACTGTGCCCAGTTAGTCAGTAATTCATGTAACTATGTTCTCAGTTCCTGGAGGGCAGAATCCAGCATCTCTCACATACCAGGTACTCAGTGGGTGTCGAACGAGTGAGTGTGAGCACAGCTGGTGCCCCCAAACCGCTTGCTGTTTGCCTGATTTGAGCGTCCTATGCTTTCAGTCACTATTTATGGGTCTTCTCGGCAGTGATCTCTGTGGGCGGAACACGATGAGCCAGAAGAAATGGTTTGCCCTCTGAGAACTCAGGAGTCTCAAGTTTTGTTGCTGCGTTCCGCTGCGGGAAGGGGGAGAGGCAGGGCCTTCCCTCCCGCCCTGTAGGCTCTAGGTTTATCCCTAGATCACAGTCACCCCACCTGCTCTGATTTATCTCAGTGAAGTCGCCCTGACTACAGATGCTCCTCAACTTAAGATGGGGTTACATCTAGATAAACCCATCAGAAGTCGAAAATGCACTTAATACACCTGACCTACCGAACATCATAGCTTAGCCCAGCCCAGCTTAGACATGCCCCCAACACTGACATTAGCCTACAGTTGGGCTAAGTCCTCAAATACACGGTACAGTTTACCCTAGTGACAGCGTGGCTTACTGGGAGCTGTGACCGGTTGCCACCGCCGAGCACCGTGAGAGAGAGTACCCTACTGCATATTCCTACGTGTAGATCAATCTACTGATTGCATATAGCTTCCACGCCGTCAGACTAGAGGTACAGACAGTCCACCACCCCACAGGAACACTCCTAGTTCTGCCTTATTTTTCTCCTTTGCACCGATCACCATCCGATAGGCTGTATGCACACATCACACCTCATGCTGTATTTCTCTTTCCCTTGCCTAGAGCAACATCTGCTCCACGACGGCAGGATCTTTTGTCCGTTTTGTTCACCGCACCCAGCACCTAACATAGCAGTCAATGCACGGTAGTCAGGAAATAATTTCTGAATTAATCACAGCATTCGCCTGTTCGGTTTTCGCACCAGACTGTGGGCCTCACTCACCTTTGCAGTCCTGGCACAAGGTAGGTGCACAATTAACGGCTGTCGGATGAATGAGTGAGTAGAAATTATTGAGAGCAGTGGTCCTCTCGCGGTCCTGGGCCTTGCCAAAGTGATTAGGTATTGGAACAAGAAAAGAATCCCTTTCCTGGCCCTGTCAACAGACATTTCATTGGTTCTTCATCTTCATAAAATCATCTAGTGATGGCTGGCTTATTGTCAGAGATTATTGCCTCCTGACATGCACCATTCATCTTAAGACCATTTTCATAAGCAGTACGTTCATGAGCTTCCCACCCCACAACACCATTGTCTGCTCAGCTTACCCCTTGTAATAGAGCACATGGGCTTACTGGTGTTAGCAGCTACTTGGTGGCTTCAAGTTCTTTCACTCTTTTTGTCCTGTCCATTGCCTTTCAATAAAATACCCAAGACAAGAATGAGACCAGCAGCTAATGTTTATATAGTACCTCCGATTTACTATTGCCATGCATGCTTCTGCATATATTACATTCATTGATTGGTTCATTTAATTCTCACAGCAAATGCTTGGAGGTCCAAGTTACAAATGAGTAAACTGAGGCACAAAATGGAAAGCCCATCCAGGAAAGCCAGGAAGAAACAAACCAAGATTTCAATACAAATCATTTGACACCATCTGTGCTTTTAAACCACGAGACGGTTCAGTCTTCAGAACAGAAAATAGGAAGCACCATAAGGGTCACATCACTAAGCTCTGTTTGAACACACCTGTGTGTGCTGGGAGGGAGGGATGAATCGTGGATAAGGAGTCCTCGCTCTCCTCCTCCCTCCCCCCCTCCCTGCCCTCCTCCTGTTCTCCGGGGCTACCCTCCGTGTCCCATCTGTGTGGGTCAGGAGGATTCTGGCAAAGCCCTCACTGAGAGTCTCCACTTTTCTGTTTATTTTTGAACAGTTGTGTTTATTATTATGAAATAAAAGCATTTGAAGACTTAGATAGACAAAGACAAGATGGGAACTTTCAGCCCAAGGAGAAAAAGAAAGTGAATAAAAAGAAAACATCAAACACCAATAATCTCACTCCTTTGTAGATAAATCCCTTTGGAAAATGGGGCTGCATGAAAACAGGATTTCACAGGAGATAAACTGGGGTGGTCATGGGGATGACAAATCTTCGCTTTGAAAAAGATTCACTGAATAAACTGTGTTTCAAGTTACAGAACTTCTGAAATACATCCACGGGAAGTCGTGTACTCCCTATTCTATGCCCAGATCCTTACTGAGCAACCAATCCGTAAAGGCCAGCAACAACTGGAACAATCATTAATGGGGTACATTTCACAAATGAGCATTTTAATGGACCAGCTGTGTGTGGCTGCCAGAACCACTTCCTAGTTCTTTGGGAGCCACTTTTGAAGAGATATGAACTCTTTTTTTTTTAATTTTTATTTTTCAATTACAGTTGACATTCAACACTATATTAGTTTCAGGTGTGCAGCGTAGTGGTCAGACTAGTATATAATTTATGAGGTGATCCCTCCCATAAGTCTACCCATCTGAAAGAAAAAATCCAATTACAAAATGGGCAGAGGACCTTAATAAACATTTCTTCAAAGAGCACATATAGATGGCCAATAGACATATAAAAAGATGCTCAATGTCACTACTCATCAGAGAAATGCAAACTAAAACCATGATGAGAGACCACCCTCACTCTCTTAGATGAATCACCTCTACAGAGGAGAAAGAACACACACAGTATTTGAGTCAAATCCAAACTTCCGCTTACCAGCTGAGTAACCATAGGCAAATTTTTAACTTCCCATTTAAAAATTACTTATAGTGTTGACATGAGATTAAAATAGAAGATATATGAAGAACACTCAACTTATAGTAGGCCCTTAATAAAAGTTAGTTTCTTTTCCTATAATAATCGCTTTTCACATAATGTCACTTTTAAGTTGAGCCTAAAATTTTTCACCTGTGTATAATTTTACCTTTTACCATATTGAGTACTTCTCAGAGAAACATAGCTACTAACAAAACAAAATGTGGCGTACACTGAAAATTTTTAAAAAATTTTATTGATTGATTTTGAGAGAGAGAGAGAGAGAGAAACATCAACTGTTGTTCCACTTATTTATTCATTCATTGGTTGATTCTTGTATGTGTCCTGACAAAGGATCAAACCCACAACCTTGGCATATTGGGACAATGCTTTAACCAACTGAGCTACCAGGCTGGGGCTGATATATATATTTTAAACCAATTTATTTTAACTCCCTCTATCCCAAATATGTTTTTTTGAAGCTAGGTACTGTATTGCCAATGCATCTTACCAACTGCCACTTTCAAATAGATGTCTTCATGGAGGATTAACTATGGACCAGGATTAACCTGTCTCCTTCAGGGTCCCAACCATCTCTTGTTCAATTGCCGGTACAGATACAGTCAGAGGAGAACTCGAATTTCCTTGGCAGCCAGCAAATGATAAATCAAAACTGCCAAAATTAAGTCTCGATGCAAATAGTATCAGAGAAATAAGGACATGAAGTAATTTCTTATTCTAATTATCATTTACTACAAACCCTAAAAGTTAGTGGCTTGAACCAATAACCATTTCATTTATATCTCCTGATTATGCAGGCCAAGCCTTCGGCCAGGGCTCAGCTGCACGACTCGTCAGTGCCTCCCGTGTGGCCCTGACCGGGATCGCTCAGTGGCATTTAGCCAGCGCATGGCCCGGTCTGGTGAACCCAAGATGGCTTCCCCCACGTGTCTAACGCCTTGGCAAGAAGGCAATGGTTACCTGGGGTTATCAAGCAGACCCCTACGTGTGTCCTCTTTATCATGGTGGTCTCCGGGAAGGCAGATTTCATACATGGAAGCTTGGGGCTCTAAAAGGGAGTGTTCCAAGAAAGAAGGCAGAAGCCCTGTCTTATGATGTAGCCCCTGAAGACAGTCTATTCTGCCGCATTCCCTTATGGAAGCAGCGCCCATTCAGAGAGAGGGGAATCACACCTGTCAGTGGAAACACCGAAGAATTTCCAGAGCTCTTCAATCTGCCACACTTGTTTCTATGAAATTCTCTTTAAATAAACAAAGTTATAAAAAACTCCCATTTTTTTGTCCATTGTCCACGTACAAACCTATATCATTGTCAGTCTTCAGGGCATGCGCAGCGAAGGCTGGCAGCTGTCCACCAGGTGCCAGGTGTCTGGAAATATTCACGAGGAACCCGACTCAAGGCGGTGCACGCTCTTCTCATCTCAGCATCATCACTGGCAAAGGCTGTTCGGGGTCTAATTTGGCTCTATCCAGCACAGAGAAGGGCAAAGTCCATGCGTCCAACCCTTGTTAGTCTAACACACATTTATTAAACCTACCATGTGCCGAGGATATTAGATGCTGAAGACACAATGGTGAGCAAGGGAAATGTGGTGCACACCCTCCTATTGCTCGGGAGGCTGTCTGGGGAGGCAGACAGATAAACAGTGAGGGTGAGGGGCAAGCAGTTCAATGGCCCGTGCCCTG